TTAGTTGCAGTAAGATCTAAGTGAAATCACCATGAAAAGTTGGCCACCACTTAAGTCCCATTGATTTTGATGCATGTTAAACGCAACTAATGTGTAGAGCAATCTTATATGGTGCAAGTGAGGAGTGTGAAGGGAAAGGGCAGCTGCTGTGGGAAAGTTAATTCCAATGGCCAGTTGCATCTGCCCCGGCCTCTAGAGGCATTGTGCTATAAGTTAGTTTTTTGTGGTGAGTGAATGGCATAGAGTTCTGCATCTTTAGTTTTATGCAACACTTAGTCCCAGTTTGGATCTGAGATAGCAATAAATATTTTCACAAAGGCCTAATTTCCTTATGCAAAAGAGCAGTTGAGCAATCCCTCCCACACTTTCCTTTCCTTACCGGCTATTGCACATCCTACCAGAATCCAATTAGATGCAGATGTTTGGGAGTTTGTATTTGTCTTCCTCCCCACCCCCCTTTTGCAACTTCACCTAATATATCTGACTGGTGCGGCAAAAAAGCTGAACGACCACAAGGCTTAATTTGTGGAAATCCATTTGTGCAGGCAACACATTTGCACTCATCCTTAACAAAGCAGTTAATCAATATATGGTCCCAAAATAAATTAAAAAATTCTGCGATGTTAGTAGATTCCACCATCTGACGAGGCGATGCTTAACTAAACACTTTATTAATCTGATTTTTAGAGAGTGTTCAGATATAGCAGTCGTCTGATGGAGCAACATGCCTTGATGTTCCATTAGTGGTAGTTTAGAACATCTGTTAATCTTGCGGTGATAACTGAAGTCATTTTCTCCTGCCCATAAATCTAAATATAGGATCCCAGGATGCAATTTGTATGTTTTCTGGAATCCCACAAAAGAGATCAGAAGCACCTACAGAATTTTGACTTATCTGTCCTGCCCTTCATCAATCTTTGGAGGAGAAGACTATATAAACTAGACTATGGTTGAAACCCATGTGGCATGAATTTGTGCTAAAGCCATTTGTATCTGCAAGAGGATTCTGGCTCTGCCCTGTTAATTGGATTAAGGCTGGTTTGAAAACTTACTCGGACAATAGTTGAATATTGGGCTTAGTCTGAATTCAGTTCTTCAGATAACCGCATATTCGACAAAACAGGCTTCTTTGATTTTTTATTTTATTTTAGCAATTGAATTAATTTGTGCTGAACTGCAAAAACTCTTCACTGACTTTAGCACTCCATATTCAGTAAGCGCAAATGATGAGCAGGTCTCTGGGAAATTAGAAGATTGTGTGTATGGCTGTTTATCAGAGGTAATGCATCAGCCTGAGGAGAAGCTGAGCTACCCTTTTGCTCTGTGTACTTGGGTACCAAGCAGCAGATGAAACAAGAAGATAGGCTTTGAAATATAAATGGAAAGGATCTTGGACAAACAACAACACTGTATGTTTACTAAGGCTTACTAAGGAGTAGTAAGCCACTTACTAGGGAGTAGGTCCCATTGAACTTAATGGGAGTTACTTCTGAGTAAATATGCAAAGGTTCATACTGCTGAATAATGCTGTTTGCAGGTTTTAATTATTTGGCTTTTCTGAACACTGGTCTGTGTATTAGGTGGTGGGGAGAATGGCCACATTGGCTATCTAGTGTGTGAAGGTCCAACAAAGGAAGGTGAACTCCCCCCCCCACAACACCATAATGAAAAGTTTGTTGAAAATTCTTCATATCTAAAGTTTGCAAATATTTAATACATACACTTTCTGCTCTGAAAGCAAATCAGGAGACAGTGACTACAAATTTACACACACACCCCTCCACATGCTGTGAAGCTACAAGCATTAAGTTGCTCTGTAATTATAATGCCTCAAAGAAGAAAGTTTTATAATAGCAGTTTTCTGACTCTCAGCTATTAAAATCCATGGCACAAAATGAAAGAACATGATTCTAAACAACCCTGAGCTTTTAATTCTGCTCTGTAGTAGAAGGCAAAAGCTTTTTTTCTGAATTGTGCTGATGTAACTGAAATAGTCAAACATTTGGAAAAACTGTAAACATTTTTTGCTGCTCCCAACTGGTAAGAAACCTTTAACATTTGTCCTTAAATTTTACTGACACATTTCAAAAGCGCCTAACAGCTGCTATTCTAAAGGCTGGAATCTTATAAAATAGCAACCTCACTTGTTTAATCTAACTGATTTATGGAACTTAAATGCTGCTTTCCAACTCTGCAAGGAAGACCTCTTTGGACACATTTTAATTATCCCAAATGACTTTCTTTGCTCTGTTCTATTTTGAAATCTCCTGGATAAACAATCTAACCAAGTTGACTGTCACTGTTCGCCTAAACCAGCTAGTAGCTCGGGTGTAATTGTTATGCTGGATAACATTTGAAGTTAACATTAGGGTGGTGGTCTTCATGCATTTCCTTTCAAAATAAAATATGTAAACAAAAAAAGGGATTAAAATGCACTCTTTCCTATATGCTAGTTTTATTTCACAATATATGTTTATTGGAATGTTGTTACCACTTCTCCATGCTAATGAAGGTTGCAGTTTAATAAATATTAATCAAAATTTAGAAGATGGTTTAGAAGAAGATGATTTAGAGGACAGTCTTTTCCAGCACAGGGGCCCATTCCCCCATAGATAATATATAGGGGGCTGCATGATAATGTCTGCGGGGCCAGAGGCAAAAGTAGGCAGAGTAATGCATGAGATTCTGACCTTTGTACAGTAGGCTATGTTCCAGCCACACAAGTCAGAGGTTGCTACATTCGCACACAAACCTCCCAATCCAGGCAAACAAGAGTATTACAATTCAGGGGCCCATTCCAGTAAAACAAAAGGTGCTTAAGATAGGTGTAAAGCTGAGCTAGTGAGGGGTGTGTTTTTGGGAGCCCCAAGAGATGGTGGGGGAAGAGCATGCAATTCCAGGGGTTGCTCCTTGTGCCCCTGCTGTTCAATACTGGAGCAAAGAATACTTGAATGAAAGTTTAAACCCCAAAAACTAGGGTTCCAGGTGGAGAAATCGAAATTAGAAATAGAATTGTTAGAACCAAAGACTAAGGTACTTTCAAGGATGTATAACTTGCTGTTGGAATGGAATACACAAGATGAAATGGTTAAATCGGCTATGATAAGGTGGGCACAGGACATTGGGTATAATATTATGTTTGAGGACTGGGAAAAGTTGTGGAGTAATGGATTGAAATTTACTGCATGTAACGCTTTGAAAGAAAATGTAATGAAAATGATTTATAGATGGTATATGACCCCAGTTAAACTTGCAAAAATTTACCACCTGTCTGATAATAAGTGTTGGAAATGTAAAGAGTGTGAGGGAACGTTCTTCCACCTCTGGTGGACCTGCCCTAAAGTGAAGGCGTTCTGGGAAATGATTTATAATGAATTGAAAAAGGTATTTAAATATACCTTTACCAAGAAACCAGAGGCTTTCCTTCTGGGCATTGTCAGCCAAGGGGTGGCAAAGAAGGACCAGACATTTTTATGTATGCAACAACAGCAGCAAGGATACTTCTTGCAAAACATTGGAAAACTCAAGATTTACCCACACTGGAAGAATGGCAGATGCAACTGATAGACTACATGGAACTGGCTGAAATGACTGGCAGAATCCGTGACCTGGGAGAAGAGAGAATCGAGGAGGATTGGAAGAAATTTAAGAACTATCTACAAAAATATTGTGACTTGAGTGAATGCTAAATAAGATGCTAGACTAAATAACTGAGCACCACTTAACTTAGAAGTTTTTAAGAAAACAAGTAAGACTGTGAAAGTTTAACTCTTTATGAGAACTATAAGATTATGAAACATTGAAGAGATATAAGAATTTAAATAAGATGATAAATTGCTGACAAAATGTTATAACGATGAAAGTGGGAGCGGGGGATGTGAGGAAGTCCAAAGAAAATGTGAAACTATGTTAAGACAAATGTTATATTGTTTATTATGTTTATTTTTATTGTAAAACCCAATAAATTGCTTTAAAAAAAAAAAAAAAAGAAAGTTTAAACCCCAAGAGTGCAGGCATGTGGTGTTTCATTCATTCATTCATTCTCTCTCTCTCTCTCTCTCTCTCACACACACACACACACACACACACACTGTGCCCTTTTAACGCAACCATCAACCTGAAAACAACAACATGGGAGAGGATTGAATATTGCAGAACCATCAAGCCCAGAATAATACATAACAGTATGCAGTAAAACAGATTAAGGGGGAAAGTTTTCTATTTTTTAGAATCCCCCTTTGAAGCAAACTGTGACCTCAGAAAACAAAGGGAGGGTGTGTGTTTTTGGACAAAAACTGCAAATAGACAACAGATTAGGAATTTGTATTTAAGGAACAGTCAAAAGTTTTGGAAAGCCACTTTGTCACATACTGTATAAAGTAAAAGAAACATGAAAAGAAACATAAAATCATGCAACTGTTTCTCAAATGGAAAGGTAAGTGATGCATGTGCTGGAAGTTGGGAGGGATTTTCTCAGTCTGTTTAAAGAAGCATTATATAATGCGCCCCCCCCCCCATTTAATGACCCCCATTGCATCATTTAACCTTTACATGTTTCTAGCCTCACATTTGGCTTATTATCACCTGAGAAGAAACTACTAATTCTGAGTAGTTTGAGGGTCTCCAAATGAGAAGGGTGTCATCGTACATCTGAACGGATTTTAAAAAAAAATGTTCCTCCTTTTATACTCCAGAGAACAATAACAGGAAAGGGATTAATAGGAGAGGATGGAGGATTAAAAAGAGTCTGCTTCCCCCCCAATCCCTTATTTCTGTTCCTTGTTTATAAATCTTGAGTGCTGCTCACCAGATGACTGACTGTATCTCACCACAGCAAAGCCAACATTATTTCAAATGGTCACATCAGTTTCTAAGATCCCAAGCCCTCAAGATTATACACTTCTTCCATTGTTTCCGCTTGATGCAAGCCCCCCCCCCCACTCTTTAAAAGAGGCTTTTCCTTTTCATTCTTATAAACTTCAATTAAGAAGTTGATGGCTCTCACATTTCAGAGTGTATGACCCAGCGGACGTTGCACTTTTTGCCTTTATTCATTCGGAGAGCAAAATGAAATTCAGTCTACAGCGGCTGACTGAATATATTCTCTCTGACGTTTCTGCTGCAAAACAGAGCAGTACCTGAGGGCTTCAAACACAGCGGGGAGCAAAACTTCCAAGTCTTGTAGAAATCAAATAACAAGACTTTGTGATAACTTAAACCCTTTTATTAAAAAAAAGTAAAAAGTTATCAGCTCAGATATCTCTGGATTGCAACTGTAACTGAAAACCTCATGTTTCCACTGCTAATAAACAGAAATAACATTTCTCATTCAAGGGGCAATAACGAATATAGAAATAATTTCACCCCCAATCCACTTTTGAAAGAATGGTATCCCATGTCTCACCCAGCTATAGAACAATGATGTAATTATTATCTTAACTTAGAGAATAAATATTTTGGACTGGACTCAAGGGCCAGAATATATGCGTGTGAATGTTGTAGCTAGCCTTGCTTTTTAAGAGGGGGTAGCTCATTCAATGGCCTTGAGCCAGTCACCGTTTCGCAGGAATTATGGTGATCTCTTTTACAGCATTACTTTCAGAGTGCTGAGCGTTCCAGAAATGGTAATGGAGTATGTGTGGAAAGGGTGCAATGCTCCTTGTATCTCACTGGTGCTCGTGCGATAGCCATGCTTGGCGAAATGGGATGCTTAAAGCGCCACAACATTGTTTTTATTTGTAGGAGTTAGGGGCAGCAGTACACAACTTGACAGTGTTTTATTAAAGTTTCATAGCACAGAGAGTAGTGAAAAGTGTTTTTAATTCTATTTTTTGTTTTGCACATGGTGTGTACACAGCCTTAAACATTTGGCAGCTGCACTGTTTCTTGCTGCACATTGCCTCCATGGTTATTCTCCCTTTCCTTCCAGTTCCAGAAGCATGTTTGACAAAGAATGAGGAATCTTTCTACTAAATCAGGCATGTCCAAAGCTCAACAACTTTGGGGTAAAAAAAGGTCAACAACTTTGGTTGGCCCTTTGGTCAGCCCTCATGGCTCTTCACTTTATCAAATCTGGCCCTCTTTGAAAAAAGTTTGGACACCGCTGTACTAAATGTTTTGGGGGAAATGTTCATAAATTACACTATTTATTAGTATAATTGGAAAGTATGAAGCGGGAGGCATATTTTGGAAGGAATATACAGACATTCTTGCAATGTGGTTGTAAGCCCATGTGACCAACAAATGTGCATTGTTGTCATCTATGGGAAGCCAATTTCTCACATTGCAACATTTGCTTCCACATAGTTACATTCACTTTACAAATTATTCCCAGATAGTATTCGTATTATTATCATCGTTTTTTTAAAAAAATTAAAAAGTAGTCTGTCATGCATAATTTTTCTTACTGGAATTAATTAAGGAGATCAACTGCAAAACCGTTTGTTGTTTCAGAAAAGAATGTTGGAATACACAGTTCGAAGGCTTTTCCTACATAGTTTTTCCTCTGATAGTTTTATAAGGTCTCAGTGAATTCCAGTAAATTATATATGAGAAATCTAACCGCTATACAATGGTCTGCCTTTGTCTGAGACCCCATCTTTTTGATACATTTAAAGCAATATCATATGGTTTAAAATAGTCATGGCATAGTCTAGTTTGTGAAGTGTGCAAAGAGTTGTTAGGAGACTGTCTGACACAGCTACAATTTTTAGAATAGTTTAATCACCAACCCCTCTTTCTAGGGGACTCTGAGAACTGTAGCTCTGTAAGATTAACAGGGGTCTCCTACAAACACTCAGCACCCTTAACTAACTACAGTTTTCAGGATCCCTTAGGGAAGTCATGACTAGCAGAGCCTTCTAAACTTTTCATGTTGGTGACACACTTTTTAGACATGAATCATTCTGCGACACAGTAATTCAGTTTTACTAGCAAACTGGATGTTAAACAAACCCCTTTCCAGTCCTGGGACGAACCCAGGGAGCGTTCACACGACACTCCTACACACTGCAGCTGACACACTAACGTGTCATGACACACAGTTTGGAAAGCTCTGATTTAAAGTGTTCGGATTCTGCTTTAAATGTATAGGTGGGGCCTCAGTCTTGCTTATTCTATAACATTACAGAGTTATATGGATATCTGATACTTTAATTATCATTATTTTTTAAACTGGGTCTCATTTTGTTACTTTCTCCTGCTTCTCAGGTTTACACTACTTCTCTGGGCTTGTCTTCCCGTAAGACACACTGAATTCAATGGACCTTCCTCCAAGGTAAGTGTATATCGAATTGCAGTCTCATTCGGTTTTCAGCTCTTCCGCTGTGGCATGCCACAGGCTTTCTGATTGTTGAGAGTTAAGGGGAAAATAGCAAAAATATTTGTGTTGACTTCAGAATGCTGCAGATTAAGAGCAGATGTATTCCCCAAGCATGTGTTTCAGCTTTCATTGATGTGCTCTGAAGAACATTCTGTAGGCCAGGAAGTATATTGCATTTGCTAATTGTGGGCAACTTGGCAGATGGGGAGCTAAAAATAATGTTTTTATGTTTTATTACTGTAAATTATTTTGTTCCGCCTCTCAAACAGAATATATCTGGTGCATTTAATCTATCGATCAGTTTTGCATTACACTTTTGCAGTACTTTCCAACAGAGTTGTCATCAAGGCACCAGTCAACTTTCTGTGCTAAACCAATTAATAGTATATATTTCCACAATCCACCCCCCCATCTTTCATGACTAAGAGACAGGGCCGGCCCACCCATGAGGCAAGGTGAGGTAACCACCTCAGGCAGCAGGATGAACAGGGGCAGCAGATCCCAATGCAGATCTTTATTCCCTTCTTGTACCTGATGTAGATATTCACTCACCTGTTCTTCCCTGGTGGGGAGGGAGGCGCCATTTTGTGCTTTGCCTCAGGTGCCAAAAGGTCTTGGGCAGGCCCTGCTAAGAGAGAATAGAATTAAAAAGAAGCACTAAGAGCACACTCCTAAATAAGGAGGAGGAGTGAAATAATAATACAGTGGTACCTCTAGTTATGAACTTAATTCGTTCCGGAGGTCCATTCTTAACCTGAAACTGTTCTTAACTAGAGGCATGCTTTCGCTAATGGGGCCTCTTGCTGCTGCTGTGCCGCCGGCACACAATTTCCATTCTCATCCTGGGGCGAAGTTCTCAGCTTGAGGTAACTCTTCCAGGTTAGCGGAGTTTGTAATCTGAAGCGTTTGTAACCTGAGGCGTTTGTAACTCAAGGTACCACTGTAATGATAATAGTTGTGTATCCCACTTTTCCTACCAAAGGACCCCTAGGCGGCAATTAGCAAAGTGTTAAAATAGTACCTTCAAAAAAAAAGGATGTATATTAGGGTTGCCATATTTCATAAAGTGAGAATCTGGAAACAAAAGTTGTTGAGATTTTTGGGGGGGCAAAATCTCAAAAAGAAGAAGATTTTGAGCTATTGTAAAGGAAATTCAACAAAATCTACACTTTTGGCATGGGTTGTCCTACATCCAGATTTTCCTGTACATTTAAGCAATTTTGCCCAAACACTGTTTCTGATGGCCAAATCCTGGCTTTATCTAGGAAATTCCAGACACATATCCTTCATAAATCTGGTCCTTTTTCTTCCCCATGATGCAGCAGTGGAAAATTGTCTCTAAAGGTGACAGACTTGGCTCAGGGGTTCAGTCCCCTGCTGCTGCTTCTTAGGTAAGCAACTCATCCAGTACCGGAAATGTTTTCGGTCAGCAATTTCAAACATGTTTTCCTGTACTAATAAGTTCCTCTACTTCAATTTGCATCCTGATATGGGTGAGTAAACCTGATCCTCTTGTATCTATTTAAAATGATGTGTCAATAAATAGACAGTATTCTAGCTCAGATTTAGCTGCAGCATCTTGAGAATGTGGGATATACTAGATATGGAGCCATAATGAAATGGATTGGGTTTTCTCCTGTGTTGCCACCCACTAGGTCCCTGTTAAAGGTTCTTTTCCCCCCTGTGGAGCACAGGTTGCCTCCATTTGTAGCAAGGCATAAGGCCTAAACCAGGGTTGGAGATCTTTTTCTGTTTGACAACAGCATTCCATTTTAGAAAACCTTCTAGGGGCCATATTCTGGTGGTGGGCAGGGCCAGAGGGAAGTAGGCAGATCAATTAATGTGAATTTATTTTTGTAGACTAGTTTCTACACACACACACACACACACACACACACACACATTTCTTTCTTGTCTTTCATCCAAGCAAGCAAGAGGCATTATCAGAGTTATATTAGACCCATAAAGACATTCAAAGAGAGTGTGAATGAAACAAGACCAGTGAGAGGTATGGCCTGAATGCTAGAGAGGCCTTTAGGGCTGCATTTGCTCCCCAGGCCTAAGGTTCCTCACCTTACAGACTTCCAATAGGAAACGGCTTATAGTTCTATTTCTTTTCCATCCATGTGTTTCATCCTGAGGCAGAATGTGAACGAGACTAAAAATGAATAGGGCCCCTGGGTCACATTATAATTTGAGGAGGCCCCAAAATATGTCATACTCCTAAAATGAGAGGAGCAGAGCTGCAAAGTATGGATAGGATTGCAGCTTAAATCAATTAACACAGCCTAAAATGTTTGGTAGGCATATTGGCATGCTCAAAGTAGCTTACTGACAGGGAACACTTAGAAGATATACCAGCCAAGAACCTAAACAAGAACTTTATTCTTCCTCTCCAACAAGAACAAAGCGGAAACAGGAAAGTCTTGACTCCACCCAGAGTCAAATAAAGCCCAGTGCCATCGAGCGACCACGACGCTATTCATACACATATTATATTGTACCTCATTCTGTCTTCCTAACAAAACTTAACACCATGCCCCTCAGCAGGAGCGGACTACTTTTCTCTTGCTTCGGCCGGTAAAACCACAAACCCACTTTAGGTAAGAGCAGTCATCTGTTAGCTTACTTTCATTTATTTTCCTGGTTGGCTCAAGCCATTTTGCTGCCTGAGGCAAAAGGGCAATATGGCGCAACATCCCACCCCCACCCCCACTACTCATACAGAAGCCAAGCAGACTGGCAGCTTGGTGAGGGAACAGCATCCCCCACAGCTCCTCAGAGCAGCAGGTTAGCTTAGGGGGCGCAGGGCAGGCTGTGAGCACCCAGCTCCGTTCTTACCCCTCACCTACTCCATCCATTGCCTCCCTCTGCCTAATAGCAGGACCTTCCCTCAGTTGCCTCAGCCTTTCCCATAAACCACGACTAGAGAGCTGTCCTTTTTGATTATTTTTATTTCCTTCTGTGCGGCCTTAAAACTAATTTTGAACGTGCTCGTGGCTTTACAATTGAAACTCCCAAGTATTTCAGAGCCTGGCTGGGCCTTCTCACACAGACAGGGGGACGAGGGACTTCCCGCGCCGATTTCCCGCGCTAACCCAGCAGGGGCCGCTGGTGAGCCGAGCACAAGGGCTGCCTCTCCGGCCGCCTCCAGCCAACGGGGCTGCCTCGGCCTGGGATGGGTCGGCCTGGAGCGCCGCTTTGGGGAAGTGACAAGCGGAGGAGGCTGAGAGCAGCGAGAGAGCGCGCTGGGAGCGGCAGCCACCTCGAGGGAGCCGGCTCCACAGCGCAGAGCCCCGCGAAGGGGAAGGGTAGGGAAGCGGGGACGGGGCAGCCCAAGCGCCGTCCCAGCAGCAGCAGCAGCAGCAGCAGCAGCAGCACCTCGGCTCAGGATCCCGTGGATGGTGGAGGGTGCGAGGGCAGGCGAGGAGAGCCGGCTCAGGGATGCAGCGGCACCTCCGGCCGCGCGGCTGGGAGAGGAGCCCTTTCCTGCTCCAGCTGCTCTTGTGGCTGCTGCACACGCGGAGCCTGGCGGAGCCCGCAGCCCAAGGTAAGAAGCAGCCAGGCCCCCGGCCGCCCGGGCGTCGCCTCTTTCGCGGCGGGGCTGGAGGATGCGCCGGTTGGGGATTTCCTCCCTCCCTCTCCTCCTTTCTTGCTTCTCCTCTTCCTTTGCCTCGGCGGCGCTGCAAATGCCTGACCTCCTGGCTCCTTTCTCTCCGTCCCTCCAAGTTGTTGCTTGGAGTTAGGGGGCGGTTTGTCCAAGCTGCGGGTTGCAGGAGAAATTCCGGAGTCTGTAAGGCGCTGGATCAGCCAATCCCGCCGGGATCCAGTGCAGATGAACGCGGGATCCCCTGGCACACGAAATTCACAGCGGCGTTAGGGTGCGAACCCACGCGCGCTCGCACGGGGAAGGGGTTTTCGTGGGGCGCCCCTCCAAATAAGTCTGCTCTGTGGGTGAGGGTGATGGATGGTCGGGTTCTGAGAACTTGGGGTTTATGGGAGCAAGGATTCAGCCTCTCCCGGAGTGTTAGAGCATAAGAGCATGTCAGGGCCAGGAGTGTAGCCTCTGGACATGTGCAGAAAGCAGTTTCTCCCAGTGTGGGGAGAAGCGAAAACTAGGGTTTGAGTCCTGGTATGTGTCACTGCAAAAATGAACCTATAAGTCGTATTATACGCACATACTCCCCTTTCCTACGATGCTCCTTCGTTCAAAGTGCCTCCGCGGTTGCTGACGTTGTGCCTGCTAACTCCGAGTGCCTGCAGTTGTTTTCCTCGGGAGCCGAATTGGGTGGGCGTTGCCCCAGGCTTAACTTGCAAAACAAGAGGTTCCGGGGCCCCCAGTTCGCTGAGAGTCTGCTCTGCCCAATACTAGATATGTTTGGGATGGTTGTGTTTACTCAGTGACCGGGTGTGTGTGTGTGTGTGTGGAGATACTCTGTACATGCTCAGAAGCAACTCACATTTTCCAGCAGCAGGCGCTGAAAACAAAATCTGAGGCTGGAGCGCCGTGTCTGCCTGGAGGGGTCTCTCCACTTCGGAGTCGCTGCTGTTCAGGGTTCCTTCGACTTTTCCCGCCTCGTCCTATTCCGTTTGTTTGGCTCGCTCGTCCTCTCTAAGAGCTTTGCCAGGAACCACCCGAGTGTCTCCCCTCAACCCCATCCTCCCTCTCTCTCTTTTGCAAGAGTTTGCATTTTGTTGAATGAAACTGGAGGTCGATGCGTGAATCTGAATAAACAAAAGCCTGGAACTCGGCAGTTGTTTACTTTATTGCTCACCCGTTTTCGCACTTTTGTAGCAGAACTCAGTGAGATCTGTGCATGCAACTGTAAAGGCCAGCACAGCATCTGCAGAGCCTAATGGTAACTGTTTAGTTAGTCAGGCTGATCTGTGGATTCCTAAGCATTATCTGAATTGGCACTGAAAAGACGACAAAGCACAATGGCAACATTTAAAGCTAAATTAATAAGGCAAGTCCAGGCCTTACTAATGGCTCCGTGGGAAGCATTTCAGGGCTTCCTTTTATTTCTTTTTTGGGCTGGTACATAATTGAAAGGGATGATGGTTTGCTCCTGTGGATTCATTGGAACCGTTCCTGGAGGAGGGGAGGTGAAAAGCTGAGAGAGGTGACTGAGGCTGCAGTCCTGACCCCATTTACCTGGGAGTAAACCTCATTGGCTGAGCTGGGGAATTGGACCATGAGGAAATAAGGAGTGCCATGGTTATTAAGGATTGTTTCTGAAAAGTCTTTAAATGCAACCGGAAAGGCAATAAATTGTCATTGAAATAGCTGCATCAGAGTCTGTAATTCTACACTTTTTTAAAAAAGAAAAAACATTTGGTTGAATACTTTGTAAAAAGGTGCAGACGTAAGATCACTTATAGTGCAATCCTATGCATGTCTACTTGGAGCCAGTGAGCATGGCAGCCTTAATGTGGATTATCTTAATCTGTGACTGCTCAAGAGAATATGATGATGTTGAAGCTAACTTGGTATAGATCTCACCAGTGCCGTGGATAGGAGACACTGCTGAGAGCAATTCTGAGCTTAGGCCGTGTCCCTAAATATGGAAATATTAGAAATAAGCCACCCATAAATATAAGCATGTGCCCTTGGTCACTATCCTTTGTCTCTTCTCTCTGATAATTGCAGGCAGGGACCTATTTTCTTCTCTCCCTCTGTCCCTGTTAGAAGACAATGTACTTGATAACACTGCATAAATAACAGAAATCAGTTAGTACTACCTCAGCCATATCCAACTACTCTTCTAATCACAGTCAATCCTTTCTGTGAATGCTTGATGGGTGAAGTAAGGCTTTCTACTATATGTCACTGAATGTGATTGACAACCTTGGGATTGTTATCTTTTCCGGGTTAATGATGAGCACAACAGGGTGATTTTATGTATATGCTTTGTATGAGACTTTCTTAGACCCTATAGTTGTAATATGTGTTTCACACGTGCATAATCGCTATATGCTTTATGATTGCCAGCTGAATGTGTGAACTAGAAAACATTGCACATGAGGTTGTCTTAGGTCATGTGAAAATCTTATACAGTGGTACCTCTGGTTACATACTTAATTCGTTCCGGAAGTCTGTTCTTAACCTGAAACTGTTCTTGACCTGAAGCACCACTTTAGCAAATGAGGCCTCCCGCTGCTGCCGCGCCGCCACCGCCCAATTTCTGTTCTCATCCTGAAGCAAAGTTCTTAACCTGAGGTACTATTTCTGGGTTAGCGGAGTCTGTAACCTGAAGCGTATGTAACCTGAAGCGTATGTAACCCGAGGTACCACTGTATGTGGTGTTAAATTGGTAGTGTCAAACAAAAATAATGATCGCTGGAACTTTTTTCAGGCTTTGCTCTTTCCACAAAACATGGAAAATCAGGATTCTCAAACTTGCAGGGAGTTGAGTACAGTAGGCTTCCCTCTGCAAAAGTTTGACCTCTAGCTGACATATCTCCAGAGGTAGGGTTTTCCATAAAGAGGACACCTCCACTGAGAAGGCTCTAACTTAGACCATCATTGTCTAGAGATAGTCTAAAGAGATGGCCTACCTCCAAGGATCAGTGGCTGGACTGTGACACATTGGTTAAGGCACTCAGGAAAGTATTTGGCTCCCAAGCTATTTAGGAGCTTAAATATAAACATCCAAACTAGAATCAGAAGCAAAAAGGCAACCAGTGCAGATCACAGATAATATGTGTAATAGGACTCAGGAACTGAGCATTCTGCAGCCTCTGAACTGCCCTCAAGGACAGCCCCAAGTAGAGTGTGTTACAGTAATCTAGATGTGAGGTTATCATGGCCCGGAAATAGTCCAGGAATAGCCATAAATAAGCAAAGTAGACCTAGCTCGAAATATTCTTAAGGGACTAGTTGCTTGCAACATGTTCTCTGATTCAGCTGAAGTGTGTGCTGGCAACTAACTTTAGTTGCTACAGATTTTTACATTAGGGAGTAAGAAAGAATTTCCTATTTGGGAGGCCATGTACAATTCTGATCTAATATGATTATATATGCATCTTTTAATGTGGAAGGGTGAGTAAAATATCACTTTATTTTGGAAAATACTATGCAGAGAAAAAATGTAAAAGCTAATAAGTGGGTGTTTATCTTTTTCTTAGGAATATCTTCTGTGGAATTTTAAGTCTATAATTTATCTTTCTGAAGGCTTAAACATTTAATCCAGTATTTAGATAATGTTCTGCTGAGTTTTTACATTTCACATCACTATCACTCTTCTTGTAAAATACTATAACCAAACTGTCTCTTAAGAGACAAATTTGGAGAGTTTCCCTGCGATTCCAAGCATTCCTTCATATTTCTTCTGTAAAACATCATTCCAAGTTAGACGGTGCATTGTTATTCTTTTGGAACCAGATCAGGACTCAGAGATAATAATGTCAATAATTATTTTTCTCTGATGCAGCTTTGCTCTTATGTTACACATGTGAAATTTCTAGCCAGGAAGAAATTGCAACAGGTAGTAACATAAAGCTTATCCAGTTTTAATATATATATATATATATATATATATATATATATATATATATATGATGTTTTAAAAAACATTTAATTGTAGTTCTTTAAATTAAATCTTTTAAATAATTCTAGACCCACAGCACTGAAAATACAGCACAAGATATTATAAAATATTTTACTTCTCAATTAGTAGATGTCAAGGAAATAAACAACTATCTGACTTTTAGAAGACATCTGTGATATCTTAGCAGTTTGAAGTTGTTGCTTCTGAAGTTACTCCCATATCACTAAGCTTGTGAATCTTCTCTCCACTTTGTTCATGTGTCTTCCACGTCTGCCAAGTTATGAACAAGCCTTTTCCTTGCACACACAGGCAAACCATAACTAAACTAGGAGGCCTCTAATTAAAGTGTGAAGCTCTTGTTACCAGTTTTGGAACAAACCAGGATAGTAAACCATGGTTTGAATTTTGTTTAATACCCTGGTTTGCTCTGAAGCAGGTAACCAGGGTGAAACCAGGAAACTATGGTTAATTGAAGACTTCTGGTTTGCTTGTGCTGTGAAGGGATAAGCAAAGGGGTTCCATGTACAGGCAAAAAGCTCATTTATGTGTAAAGTGGTACCTCGGGTTACATACACTTCAGGTTACAGACTCTGCTAACCCAGAAATAGTACCTCGGGTTAAGAACTTTGCTTCAGGATGAGAACAGAAATTGTGCAACTGCAGCGCAGCAGCAGCAGGCCCCATTAGCTAAAGTGGTGCTTCAGGTTAAGAATGGACCTCCAGAACAAGTTAAGTTCTTAACCCGAGGTACAACTGTAATGGTTTAGTAAACCGAGATAGGAACACAGGAGTGATGGGTTAGCTGCAGTTTTCCATCTTAGCTAAGTATATATAATTTTTATACATGGTGGTACATATATGACTGCTTGCTATTATCTATGCAGAAAGGAAGTAGCCATAATATACTCTATTTGTGATGAACATTTATTGGTTCCATGAGTTGACCCAGACCCATTTTCCCTCCGTAACTTTAGAGTTTCATCTGTTCCATAGATGCATACCTGTCAATGTTTCAAAATCCCAAACAGGTGGATTTACATGCTTTCTGTTGACCTAAAAATCCATCTGTCAAACTCTCTGTTCCTGACCCCTGAGCTCCTCACCCTTTGACCCAAGGTGAAGGATAAAGCCAATAAACTGATATGGTATTTTAATAGTTCTGCTAATTCAGATCACATTTGTGTCTTGTTAAAGGTGAAAATAGAATACAACTTAAAGCACCAACAGTGAATGCTAGTTTAAGATTGTGCTTAGATAGTTTACATTTTTAAAAAATATGTATTTCATCTTGCAAACCTTGAGTTCCCTTAATTGCTGGTGACATTGACAGGAAACCTCAAAAGGGGAAACTTCACAGGGGGGACATGTATTTATTGGTCATATATGGAAAGTAGATTGGAACAAAAGAAAACAAGTAGACACATGTCAAATATTTTAAGGAGGCAACCCAAATATCTTAACAGCTTGTGTTGGCTGTTGCAAGTCTCTCTGCCTCAGCTTTGCAAGGGAGATTGTGAGATCCATAGGCTGTTTGGCAGGAGTTTCAGCGTGAAGATGGGGATTTAATGTAGAAGTACCGCGGGTTAAACTGCAGAGCCTAGGGCTTGCCGATCAGAAGGTCGGTGGTTTGAATCCCCGCGACAGGGTGAGCTCCCGTTGCTCGGTCCCTGCTCCTGCCAACCAAGCAGTTTGAAAGCACGTCAAAGTGCAAGTAGATAAATAGGTACCGCTCCGGCGGGAAGGTAAACGGCATTTCTGTGCACTGCTCTGGTTCACCAGAAGCGGCTTGAGTCATGCTGGCCACATGACCCAGAAAAACTGTCTGTGGACAAACGCCGGCTCCCTTGGCCAATAAAGCGAGATGAGCTCCGCAATCCCAGAGTCGGTCACGACTGGACCTAATGGTCAGGGGTCCTTTTACCTTTACCTAAAAATACTACCTCACCAAAGTCCCACCTCTTTGAGCTTTGATGGCCTGAGGATTGGTGCAGCAGAGGGTTTTCTACAATTTCTCTTGCTTTTATCAGCTTGATTCCTGGTGCTAACACTTAACATTTATATTAGTGGTAGGGTTCAATTTCTGATCTGTATCCCTTGAGAAAGAAGAAAATCAGTGGAAAAGGTGGGTGTGTTGAGATGCCATTTGACCAGCTTGACCTCACTGTCTTAGGTGGAGGAACATTTTTTAATCGTTGCTCGGTTAAAATAGAGAGCTGCAGATAAAACGTTATAAGTGTGTTTTATGTGCAATATACAATGTGACACTAGATGGCGATGGTGAGCCTTATGGATAATTCAATGTATTTTGAAAACCCCTTTAAAAAGGCATTTTCAGAACTTTTTTATACATGTGCAGATTCCACCCTAGTCAAACCAGCCGTGATGGTGGTTAACGATCTAAACTCCTAGTTTTGCTTTTGTTTGCCATGATGAAAATAATATATTTGGCCACACTGAGGGGGCTTGTGCATGGGCCACACAAAGTCATTTTGCACTGCAGGAGTTCTTTGAACCTATATCCTGTTTGGAGCATTATTTGCCTTGCCTTGCAATAAAAAAAAAAAAAAAATCCCCCCACGCATAAATAATGTTGTACTTGCTGTGGATGTCATCAACAAGGGCAAAAATAAGTGAAGAAAGTTATCACACTGGAGTGGATAAAGAAATAGGGAGGTCTTCCCTAAATTTTGAGACTTTTGAGAGTTAACAGTGGGGAACATACTCTCAGGAAACGAACTATGCAGACTGTGGACCAATATGTACACTGTCTCTTTGGAATGTTTTTGGTGTCAAAGGTGGTGTGCCTATATAAGAAAATGAAATTAAAGGTGTTACAGGGCCTCCTTGACAGTCTCTTGACAGGTAGTACAGTCCTCATCTGAATCTACAGTAATAGTTGCCAACCAAAGGGAAAATGGGAACAGACTCAGAGGTTATCTGAACATAAGGCGTGGTGGTGAAGTCACTTTACACAACAAATTTTGGGCACTGTTAATGGTGGCAAAGTGGAGGACAGACAGATCTGGCCACAATCATAGCTGTAAAGTTCTTAACAGCAAGGCAGGAGACTGTGAAAAGTTGCATATGGATTTTCCATCCAGCATGTTTTTGTTCAAACCCTGATCCTGTATGACCTAGCTCAGGGGAAGGCAACTTAAGACCCAGGGGCCAAATCCGGCCCAATCGCCTTCTAAATCTGGCCTGCGGATGGTCCAGGAATCAGCGTGTTTTTACATGAATGGAATGTGTCCTTTTATTTAAAATGCATCTCTGGGTTATTTGTGGGGCACAGGAATTCATACATTATTTCCCCCCAAAAAATATAGTCCAGCCCCCCACATGGTCTGAGGGACGGTGGACCGGCCCATGGCTGCAAAAGGTTGCTGACCCCTGACCTAGCTTTTATGTTTATCACCATCAAATCATAGAGTTGGAAGGGACCATGAGTGCCATGTTGTCCAACCCCTAGAATGCAGGAAACTTGCCCAATGTGGGGCTTGATCTTGTGTCCCTGAGATTAAGAGCCTCATGCTATACCAACTAAGCTAACTTGTTTGTTCCATTTTTACCCTACCTATCGGGGTGGAAGAGTAACTGTTCCTAAGGAAGTATTATCTTCATATGTTACTTTAACAAATGTCTTCTGGGAGGTATGTGCTGATTTATATACTCACAAAAAAGTCTGGGTAACTTAAATTAAACTTTCTCAAGCAAGAGTTAGACATCTGAAGATCACTTGTGAGTACATAAACCTGGAGAAAAAATGCCTTCCCTGAGGTGTGACACTGGATACTGTTCTTTAGAGACAGGCAGAGAAATGCAGTGGCCATTTGAGACCCTAAAAATCTCACAGTTGAAAATGATTCAAAAACCCCTAACTAAAAGCAGGTGCTTGTTGCACAGATGTTATCTTGCATTCCAGGAATATCTATAAAGCTGCCTAATGCAAAATAAAAACAAATAACTGTGAAATTGGTCGAATAAAAGCATATCTCTTGTCAGAGTTAGCAAAGTCGTGTGTTAAGAAAACTGGTAAACAATGCGTTTTTATCACTTTAAAATCTTTGGATATGCTTATTCAGCTATTTTAAATATTCTGGTATTGTAAAGCAGCTGAAATAGAAAGTGTTTATGGTATGGGCGTTCTTGAAAGTAGAGAGAAAGAGAACAATTAAGATTATCAGGAACGTTTCAGGCAGAGCTAGGAATCTCCACAACTTTTGAAATACAATATTCAAAGTGCTGATTTGACTTCAGAGGCGAACCTAGGGTACCTTGCAGCCTTGGCAAGGAGATGTATTGGTGCCTCCCGCCTCTCTCATATCACTTTACCGCACATGCTGTGGTGTGATAAGTATGAGAAGCTTCTGCTGCATTTGATCTTGCTGTGACTGTGGCGGTGTGCCCCCCCATACATCATACATTCCATGTATGGAGTGTCTGATAGGTGATTTTTGTGGGGGGCGGCAGGCCTTCGCCAACCCATAGGTATGCCTCTCTTTGACTTATAGAGTCTTGCATGGCTTGGGACCCCAAGTCCTTGTGGACTGCCCCCGCTGCATGCAAGCTTGCTTAGACCAGGCATGGCCAAACTTGGCCCGCCAGCTGTTTTGGGACTACAATTCCCATCATCCCTAAACACTGGCCCTGTAAGCTAGGGATGATGGGAATTGTATTCCCAAAACAGCTGGAGGGCCAAGTTAGGCCATGCCTGGCCTAGACCCTGAGATTGCCACCAGGTGGTTCCATTCAGTCTCAACCCTTCAGTCACAAAGGTTCTCATTGTGGATTGGACAATGATTTAGGTCATAAGCAGTGGTGCATATGCAACATGTCTATTTTTATGTGCTACCATATTGATGGCCAGCCCTGTGGGCATGTATTAATTATATCAGAATTAACAATGAGGGTTACTTAAATTGACGTTATGGTATTCCCCATTTCCTACAAACTGTAATAAATATTAATTGAATTTTGGGAGACTTAAACAGAATTCAGTTTATTGTAGGGCAGTTAGTAAGTAAAATGATGATTTCAATTTTATCAGTCTGGTAGTTTTAGTGCACTCGCCAACCTGCTGTCTGGGACACGTTCCTCCTTTCAAAGCCCCTCCCCCTTTGATTCAGTGCTGAATATGTGGTTCATAAAGAACTCTTCCCACCAACACACCCAAATAATATACTTTCCTATCATGGAGCCTCCCCATACATTAGTAATTTGCATAGAATTATAGCATTCCAATGTCATGATGTTATATATATCTAGGTGTCATGGGCTTATCATGTGATATATTATCCTTAAAAAAACTCCAACCCTTTATAAACTTGAAATCAGACATCAAAGTACCGTAATTTGGAGAGCATTTAAAGCTGAGAAGTGATGATGTGAAAAGAGTATTTAACCCTTTAGCTGCCATCCTTTCCCTCTCCCCTTGGTATCTTCCCCCAGGTGCTTAGAGTTTATGAGGATAAATATACATTTTATTTATCCATCCATTCATTTTTTTCTTTCTTATGGAGATTTATATCCTGCTCCTTATTCTCCATTCAGGACAACTAATAATAATGGAAACAAACTGTGAAATACAACAATGTTCTGCAAATATAATGTAACAATAACAGTATAGTAAAAACAAAGTCACATGCAGTAGGTAAAGCAAAGGCATCAGATAAAAAACAAAAATTGGAAAAGCCTGTCTTAACAAAAAGTTTTTTTAAAAATGGTGAAACATCATAAGAAAGTGGATTAGCTGAACCTCATGGGGCAAGAGTTCTGTTTAGGTGCAGCTGTGGAGGAGAAGGGCCCTACTCTCATGTCAATCACTATAATGAAAGTGGCTGACCATATCAGGCATCTGCTGCTTGCAAGCAATCTCCACCATCTCCTCTTCTGCTGTTGCCAAACTCTGGGTTTGTATTCCAGTCATGTGCCTCACGCCTTCATATGTCAGTGATGCCAGTTAAGTCAAACCCGTGACTGTTCGGCAAGGCCGTTGATTTTTCCTTTTTTCATTTCTTATGTCTGCAGTTCAAATTCATCGCAGTGCACTCTGCCAATATTCCCTCAGAGCAGACTTAATGTTGGATAGCCCAGGGCTTTTGAATGACCTTGGAGACTGCAATCTAGACTATAAGCCTAGAAGTGCTAATTGTGTTTCTGTGTTCATATCTGATGTTCATATCCTTCTGCAATAAAACTGGTATCCCATTGAGAGAAGAACCTACTAAGGTATACAGTATTGCATTGGTGCATTTTCTCTAAGTGATACATCAGGATAATCTTTGCAGAGGAGGTGCTTAGTTTTTCTTGTTTAGGATTATGCTGGAATTGCATTATAGCCACTATAGGTTTAGGGATCAACCCTCATAATTCACTGCCTCTTTTCTAAGCCACCCCTCCACCCTTTGGCTATTAAAACTTTGTGTGGGTATAGGGAGAAAGCAGCAATTTACCAGCGATGTCCTTTAGAATGGTTTTTGTGTAGTGAAGCTTGGATTCCTTTGACTGGTGAAAAGAGCTGAGAAATGAAGCTCAGTTCTGTGGCCTAAGGGGTTGCAGCAGGAAGCAATTCTTGTGGTGTTAAAGCAGATTGTTTTTGTTCCCTCTTACTTTCATTCCTGAAGCTTTTGTTGTGAAATCTTATACATTGGATGATAATTGGCTAATAGAAGCCAGTCTGCATACTGCATTTTTATGCAAATATAAGCATGTTATAGAATTGCTAATCACTGGAATCTCTGATATTGCAGACATCTGGATAAACCCTGGATGAATTAAACCCTCACTGAGCAAATCCCCATGAGGTTAAGTATGTTGCATTCCAATCTTTCCTCCTGCTGGCTGCAACAACTTGGAGGGTTTTATTTAAGGTTAGGGGTTGCTTGTCTGTATAGAATTTAATATTGCATTAAAATATTGTGCCTTTTGATAAAGAGATACAAATTTACAGTAAATTCTAAGGAGACAAAACTGGTAATAGCTTGAACTTGCAGGCCCACTAAGATATATTACCACCTTATGGAGTTGCTTACATGAGATCAGTGTGGTTCATACACTATAATGACTGCTTTGACTCCTGCTATCATTGGAAGCTATTTTTCATTGCTAGCTTTGCAAGTTCTCTTGTGTTTTCCAAGACTTTGATCTATTTTTCTAGATGCATTTCACTGAGAAATACATATGTGTTTTCTTCATCAGCTGTCTGAACAATGGATAGGCTCCCTCCCTGAAACTGCAGCATTAATCCTTATTAATATTGACTCTTGGTGTCCTGCCTTCCGCTTCAGTCACTTAGGATTCTGTGGAGGACAGTGGTGATGCTTCTGGGATTTCAACTGCTCATGCAATGGTCTACTTGCTTGAATAGAATTACTCTTGTGCCCATAGTTAATACTTAGGTGAGATATTTGGGTTCATTTTTGTTCTGATTATAATTTGTCAGGATGTGTAACATACCATTTCCTCACAGCTTAATGTGTATAATAATGTATTGTACTTTGATAATCCAGAAGAAAACAATTCCATAATTAAGGAGTACCCATGGAATATGTCCACCCTCTTTCCCCCTCCTCCTGTGCTATCTTACCTTAGGCTTAGGCCACTGTAGACTAGTAATGAGGCAGTACAGTGGTACCTCGGGTTAAGTACTTAATTCGTTCTGGAGGTCTGTTCTTAACCTGAAACTGTTCTTAATCTGAAGCACCACTTTAGCTAATGGGGCCTCCTGCTGCTGCCATGCCGCCGGAGCATGATTTCTGTTCTCATCCTGAAGCAAAGTTCTTAACCTGAAGCACTATTTCTGGGTTAGCAGAGTCTGTAACCTGAAGCGTATGTAACCCGAGGTACCACTGTACAATTTTTGCACAGGGGACCTTACCACCTCAGGTTTCATGTAGGGTTGTGCATAAAAATATATATAAGTGAAGAACTGGCCACTTCAAAGCGAATACTTAAATTGCCTTTGCTGAACTGAAGAGATGAGCTTTGTTACATCCTTTGATCAACTGAATTTGTTCAGCTGTTTCTAAGCAACTGTTATACCAAGCCAGTTGCAAGGTAAGGTGATTGAGATTGGTTCACATGGTGCCAAAAGACCATTTCAACCATTTTTAGAGCCAAATCTAATAAAATACTCAGAATAAGAACAGCAGGTTTCCAGTGAGGGAGATTCCAAGCAGTGTGCCTACATGGCATCCAAACCCCCCCCCCCCCCGCCGCTTATTGCCAAGTCTGTGAAGAGCCCATTTTTCAAACCATGGCTTATTGTCAGTTCTGCTGCTCTTGGAATTACTTCAGATAATCCCATAAGATGATAAAAAGACCTAAGGGTAACAATCCTGTCTTTCGAAGTAAGGGGATTACGGCTGTATCTATTAAATGTAATTATTTAAGAGGTTAAACTTACACATGTTACCTGTCAAAGCAAGTGTTAGAACTATTTGGATCTTTAAGAGAATGCATATGTTACACCTACAAAGCTCTTATTTTTGTTCTGCTTTTATATAAATATTACTCTCTCTTTAAAGACATGGTTTAAGTTGAAAACTGTTCATGAT